ATTATTGACGCATTCAGAATCAAATGAATATATTAAATTAAGAATAAAATAAAGAAATAATAATAATATTTAAAAAAAAAAAAAGATTCTTAAATACACGCATTTGCGCTTAAAAGAAAACAATTTTCTATGATTTTAGGTGAAATCCGTGAACCTATAAAAGCGTAAGGCGCTCATCACATATCACATTTTACCAAACAAACATAAATTTGTTTGAATATTAATAATTATGAAAAGTTTCACAACTTTGATCATATAGGTGACGATATCGTATTAATTAGAAATGTTTATCCATCCTGATGATCGCGAAAACCGTACAAATGCTTCCGAAACCTTACAAAGGAATTTTTTATTATTCGTAATCAAAAAGATTCAAATTCAAATTCAAAAAAATTAATTTTTAGGATTTTTTCCGAAATAAATAATTGTACCTGTGTGTATTGTATCCTTCACGGCTAATTGTCATATAGATGCTACATACCCGGGCCGGCAAAGACAACTTCAGCTCACTAAAGAGCATCATCACCCGCTTCCCTGGCCAAGATTAAGTAAGTTTAGAAAAAACGAAGAAAGTTAGAGCGAAAGTCAGACAAAGTAAACTTAGAAAAATAGCATAGAGAAAGCAGACAAAAAATTGCACTAGTTATTAGAATGTGCAATTCGTACTATTTACTTGATTACCTAATTAATGTATTAGTATAAACGCGGTGGACAAAAAAAACAAAAATTTTTGTCGTCTAATCTTAAAGACTTATTTAACTTTAGCATCTATATTTATATATATTAAAATAAATTTATTGATAATTTATTTGCATTAAATCCCTTAGTTAACGGGACTCTGAACATTTGAAAACTAAAAAAAAAAATCTATAAATAAGTAATTTCGGTCGCATCAACGTTGTGTGATATTTCAATTACATCTGCGTTTTCAAAACAAAAAATATAATATATAGAGTATTTAGAGATTAGAAAAACTATTGTGTGAAATAAATTTGTCATAGCATATTATTTTAGTTAGGGGCAAGTTGGGTGCCCAGGACACTTAAAGAAAAAATAGATTGTACAAATGTATTAACAAAAAATAAACTGTCAAAAGTGCAAACATTTATCTATTGAATTAGAAACCAAAAAAAATAGTTATTGTGTACCTAAATAATATACAAAACATAAAAGAAAATATGTTTGAAAAAAGTCATGTTTCAAAATTGGAGGGTAGCTCCAGACACATAGTTTAACCATAATTTTATCTCTTTTATACCCTTGTGACACAAATATATGTACAGTATTGGACAAAACATTTGCAACCAACGTTGAACAATGCTAAAAAGTGTTCCTAATTTTACATGTTTTAAAAACGAAACGAACTATACTACCACAGCAAACAGTTAAGGAGTTTGGAGTCATTGCACGCCATGACATGAGCAATCAGCTGACAGGTGACAGCACACAGGCAGAATTTCGTTGACAAGTGCCATTTTGCAGCGGACAAAACAAGTGCAACTTTTTTGGTTTGTTTCATTTTCTTAAGTCTGTTCCGTGTCAATGTCACGGAAGTTTTTTAATGATTAAAAGAAGTATCCAGATGTTTTCAGAAGCATGCAGAAGCTTCCAAAAGTTTCCAGAAGAAGCATCTGGAAGCATTCAGAAGCATCCAGAATTATCCAGAAACATTTGGAAGCATCCAGACGCATCCAGAAGCTTCCAGAAGCATCGAAAAGAAGCATCTAGAATCTTCCAGAACAGGTTTACACAGGTTTATTTTAATATATATGAGATAGGTATATGGTATATGGAATTCAATCAGTCAGTATTATCAAGACAGTTAATCGAAGTTAGTTTTATCAAAGTGTTTTATCGAAGAACATCAATACAAAAAGTGAAATACAATAAGTGTTTTATTAAATCAATACAGTCAACGTCTAACCAAGACGTTGTGTTCCACAAAGCATTATTGTATCATCACAAGGTAAATGTAACACGGTAAGCCTTGAGAAGCGTGATTATTGAATTTTATTATTTTTATGATTTAAAGTGCAAAAACGACTCCTGACAGTCTCGAATTCTCGAAAGAAAATTATTGGCGATTACGTAAGTGGAATGTTACAAAAAAGTATTTGTGATAAATATCGCGTGAAAAAATGGACCGTATCAAGACTATGTTCCAAATATCGTTCTACGGGGAAGTTGGCAGCAGATCAAAAAGGTGGAAGACTGCGTTCCACCACTTCTAGAAAAGATTCTATGATCGTCAGATTCGTCAAGAAGGATCCCTGGATATCATCAGTCGAGATACAAAAGCAACTAGAGCTGCCTCTATTGGACCGAATAATCAGACGACGTGCAGTTGAAGCCGGATTGTTTTCTCGACACCCTGCAAAGAAACCGCCGATTTCACTAAAGAACCAGAAGAAAAAACTCCTGTTTGCTACATCTCATATTGACTGGAATGTGTAGAAATGGCGAACTGTCCTGTTTAGTGATGAATCGAAGTTCAACATAATTGGGAGCGATGGCATTTGCCGTGTACGTCGACCGGCCGGAAAACGCCTCGATTTACGTTACTGTCATAAGACCGTGAAGCATGGTGGAGGCAATGTAATGGTCTGGGGGTGTTTTTCTGCTAACGTTCTAGGTCCATTACATTGAATTGATGGAATAACGGACTGTTTCATGTATAAAAATATCCTGAAAAATGATATATTACCTCATGTTGAATGGAATATGCCAATAAAATGGGTTTTTCAGCAAGACAACAATCCGAAACATACATCAAAAGTAGTCAAGCAGTGGTTTCAAGACAACCATTTATTGGTGATGGATTGACCACCTTAATCTCCGGATCACAACCCTATCTAGAACCTGTGGGTGATCGTCAACCGCAGAATTAATCGTGAAGATGTTCGTAATAAGGATCAACTGTTTGAACAAATCCAAAAGGCAATAGCAGCGATTCCAAAAAGTTTCATTGATCACCTGATCGAATCTATGCCTCAAAGATGCAAGGCTGAGATCAACAACAAAGGGTTTTGCCACTAAATATTGATAGCAAAATACAGCTTGGTCAACACTTTGTGGAGCTGCACTTGTTTAGTCCAGAAGGAAATCAACTTTTTTTAATACTTTTAGTAATAGGAAGAGGAGAGTTCTGCCTCATTTTTATCTTCAACCATATTTTTAACCATAGATTTAATTAAATCTATGATTCATTTTCATCCATAGTGTGTATAAATTGAATAACTAAGAAATCAATTTTTAAATCAATTTTTTAAATTTAAAAATCAGTTTTCAAATTACTGCCAATTTCGCGGATTTTCTTGATATTTTAAATTATTCTTATTTTCAAATTCAATTATATAACTTCATCACAATCTCTTTAAATATTTCTTGTCGTTGCATACTTTCTTGTGTGACGTGATTTCTATTAACTTTTCTTTTATGATATTTGATAAATAAATCTTTTTTATGTAAGTCTATCAGTTCTCCATATTCGTCAACTATTGTGATATCCATTTGTAAAAATTTATTTGCTTTTAATGATCTATATTCTATTTCAAATACTCGATATTTTCTATTTTTTGAATCTGGTGAATATATATGTTTAATGTCGTTTTTTCACCATCTAAATATGTAATACTGTTTGTTATATATAAAGCAGAGTTTGAATAATAATTATTTGTAACTAGTAATTCAACTACAGCAATTTCAAACTCTTTATTTTCATGCAGTTTAATAACTTTACTAAATTTTTGTGTAATATTTGCACTATTTCCGGTAATAATTATTAATATTTTATCTATTTTATTTTCACACACTTCATTTTGCAATACATTTTCGTTTTCCATACTTTTTATATATGCAATAAAAATTATTTATGTCATTTTTTTATAAAGTATACTATAAAAATTTTTTTTTTTATTTCAAAAAAATTTTATAGTATATTTTATATTATTTCTATTTTTAAATTCAGATATTTGACGTCATCTCAATTTCTCTAAATAATTCTTTTTGTATATTATTTTCGATATTTTCTATCTCTTTTATGCTTACTTGCATTTCTTCTATTTCTTTTTTCTTCTTTTCTATTTTTTTTATTTTTTTTCTCATTTGTTGCATTATATTTTTTGCGCTTACTTGCATTAAATCTTCGTCATCTATCATTTTTTATATTATGTCAAGAAATTTATTTAAACCATTTCAAATAAATTTATTTTATTGTATATATTTTTTTCCTTGCATCACTCGCAATAAGATGAAGTAGTCGTCGTTACAGTGGTATTTGTATTAGCATTACCAGAAGTAGCTGATATTCACATTTACATTAAATTTTGCATTTTTTTTATATGCAAGATAATTATTTAGAGAGTTTTATATAGATTTTTCAATTATTTATTATCAACCCATGAGTTAAAAGTATCAGGATATCCATACCACTTTACTAACGATCTGTTTCCCTGTTTACGAATAATCTTTTCAATTCTAAATATCTCTTGATTCGTTCTTGTTCATAAAAAGTGCCTTGTATTTCTTCACTATGATTGTCATTTATTTTATAAGTTGGTGGATCTGTGTACTGAATCTGTGATTCTGTGAATACCTCTTCAGTCCATCTTGGTGTATATCCTTTTTCAAACTCTCTTTTCTCTTTAGTTATTCTTACTTTATCACCTATTGAAATCTTGGGTTTATTAGGATTTGATCTCACTTTACCATTTAGATTTAGAAATACTATATTCTTATTTTTTTTATTTCTTGCTTCAGCTGGAGTCATTTTAATTGAAGAATGCTTTGTATTGTTGTATTGATTTACCATTTCATCTAAAACATCAATATATTTTTAATAGTAAAATTAGCTGAAAAGTACTTGAATTTTTTCTCTTTCATTGTTCTATTCCAACGTTCAACTACACAGCTTTTTTTTCATTTTCAGTCAAATAGAGCTGCACACCAAATGCTTTAACATGCTTGTTATAAAATTCTAAGCCTTTATATACCCATAATCT